CCCCAACAATGGCCTACGTAACAGTAACATTAATCAGAGCCATATACATTCATGAACTTAAGGCACGCTACATTACCCCCCCCTTCTTAAGTCCTCGTCCCCGAGGACAAAGTCTCTAAGCCTCAGTGGCGTCCGCCGCTTCCTCCTCGGTCGGCCCGCGGGTGTTGACTTTTCCCGTTGCCCCCCTGTGTGTCCCAGGTCAGGTGGATCCAAAGCCGCAGGTGGCAAACTGCATGCACTTGCGATGTCCCCCAGGCCACCTGCGACGACTTCCCGGTTAGGTGATGCCACGACAGGCGCCCCAGGCGTTTCTCCCTCTCCTCCAGCTGTCTGAGGGGAGGCGATGCCCCGGTATGGTGCCAGCCTGTCCCGGTGTAACGCCACCCGGCGCCCCCTGTCAGGCATCTGCACCCGGTAGACGACCTCTCCCAGCCGCTCCAGGACCAGACACGGTCCCACCCAGTGGCTATCCAGCTTAGGGCACCTGCCTTTCTTCCGTTTAGGAGCGTAGGTCCACACCAGCTCCCCAGCCGCAAAGTGTCGGCCTTTCGCCCGGACGTCATAATTCCTCTTTTGTCGCACGCCCGCACTACGCATTTGCCTGCGGGCATACGCATGTGCAGAGTCCAAGCGGTCCTGCAGCCGCCTGGCGTAGTCCGGGCCAGCAGGGACCCGCGGCGCATCCGGGGGTCGTCCAAAGGTCAGTTCCGCTGGTGTTCTCAACTCTCTGCCCAACATGAGGAAGGACGGTGTACATGAAGTGGAGTCATAGACCGCAGTGCGACACGCCATCAGAACCAGGGGCAAATGCATATCCCAATCGCGCTGATGGTCGGCAGTCAGGATAGATAGCTGTTCGCCCAGAGTCCGGTTAAATCTTTCCACTAACCCATCACTCTGGGGGTGGAGCGGTGTTGTACGGGTCTTTGTGATGCCCAGACGTGTACACATCGGGGCAAAAAATTTAGATTCTAAATTTCTCCCCTGATCGCTATGGATTGACTCTGGCACCCCCAGCCGACTGATTATCCCCTCCACTAGGGCCTCAACAATGGTCTCGGCCTCCTGGTCCCTAATGGCATAGGCCTCAGGCCATTTAGTGAAATAATCCACAGTAGCGAGTATGTAGCGATTACCTCTGTCTGTGAGTGGGAGAGGGCCCAGAACGTCTACACCCAGCCGCTGCATGGGCTCCCCCACCGGAAACTGCTGTAGCTGAGCCCTGGACTGGCCCGGTGGACCTTTGCGGGCAGTGCAGAGATCACAGCACCGACAAAAGTCTTCAACGTCTCTCCTCAGCCGCCCCCAATAGAAGGCCTGACGGACCCGCCGGAGTGTTTTGGTCACCCCAAAGTGACCGGAGCCTGCAGAGCCATGCATGGCTTCGAGAACAGCCCCCTGCATCCCTCTGGGTACCACGGTCTGCCACTTTTTCTCTCCCGACGCTGGTTCTACCCATGCCCGCTGAAGGACCCCATCAGCCAGCTGCAAAGAATTAAATTTAGCCCACAGCCCTTTTGTCCATGGGGAGAGAGCGGCCACCTCCTCCCAGGGCGGCCGCTGCCGCGCCTCCACCCACAGCATCACTGGCTGCACGTCCGGGTCTCGTTGCTGTTCCGCGGCCCAGATAGCATTGTCCACCACCAGCAGCTCTCTACAAGCCCTGACAGTCTCTTCACACTCCTCTCTGTCCCGCTTGTTTGGCCCCAGAACCAGCTGCTGTTCTCTGACCTCTCTGCGGTCACAATACCCGCAGTCGTCTTCACTGCAGGGTCGACGGGACAGTGCGTCAGCGTTGCCATGCCGTTCTCCAGCACGGTGAACCACGCTGAACTCGTAGCCTTGCAGCTCCTCCAGGCTCTCGGAATGTCATCAGCCACTGCAGTGAGGCATGATCAGTGCGTACAGTGAAGGGGCGGCCACACAAGTAGTACTTAAAATGCCGTGCGGCAAAGACGACAGCAAGCAGCTCCCTACGTGTGACGCAATACCGCCGCTCAGCTTTATTCAGGGCTTTGCTGTAGTAGGCCACAACCCTCTCTCCTTCCGGCCCTGCCTGTGATAAGACTGCCCCCACTCCATCGCCGCTAGCGTCTGTGTCCAGAACAAAAGGCACTTAGGGGTCAGGGGCTGCCAGGATGGGTGCGCTTGCCAGAGCCTCTTGGAGGGTGTTGAATGCGCTTTCACAGTCCTCCGCCCACACAAAGGGCTGGTCCTTCTGCAGGAGCCTGTACAGGGGGGCCGCAATGCCTGAAAATCCCCGCACGAATTTCCTGTAATAGGAAGCTAAACCCAAAAAACTTTTTAGTCCCCTCTGGTCTGTCGGGCTGGGCCACTCGCGTATGACACGCACCTTCTCCTCCACTGTGCCGATACCCTCGCTGCCTATTCGGTGCCCCAGAAAGGTCAGCTCCCTGCACAGCAGCCTGCATTTGTCCGGGTGTAGCTTCAGTCCAGCCCCTTTGATCCTCTCCATAACTCGGCGCAGTGCTGCCATAGCTGAATCAAATGAGCTGCCATGGGCCAGAATGTCATCTAAGTACACCAGGCACTCCGTGTGTGGAACTCCAGCTAACACCCTCTCCATCAAGCGTTCGAATGTGGCAGGCGCATTACACAGTCCAAAACAGAGCACCTTAAACTGCCACAGCCCCTTTCCTGTGCAGAATGCGGTCTTGGGCCGGGCCTCTTCGGCCAGGGGGACCTGCCAATAGCCGCTCCTCAAGTCCAAGGACGAGAACCAGGAAGAGCCAGCTACTAGGTCCAGACATTCATCCACGCGTGGAAGGGGGTAGGAGTCCTTCTAAGTGACGTCATTAAGCCTCCTATAATCCACACAGAAGCGCCACTCACCTCCTTTCTTCGGCACCATCACGACTGGTGATGCCCAGGGGCTCTCAGAGGGCTCTATTATGCCAGCTCGCTGCATTTTCTCCAAAGCCCGCTCCGCTGCGTCTTGTCGGCCCAGGGGGAGGCGACGTGGCCGCTGTCGTATAGGCGTCGCATCACCCGTGTCAATTGTGTGCTGTACGAGAGAGGTCTGTCCCAGCTCCTCCTCGTCGCATGAAAAGCAGTCACGGAACTCTATCAGCAGCTGCCATGGTCGCTCCTGATGTTCAGAATCCAAGTCCCCGACACTTCTCTGCCAGACCTCGCGCAGAGCTGTCATCCTTTTCGCTTCACTCTCCTGCAGACTCTCACAGCCCTCCACCGCAGACGGGATCAGCCTGACCGGCGAGTCCAGGCTACGGGTGGCTGGCTCAGGGCCTAGCCGAGGCTCCGACAGGTACGACATGGCAGCCTTTGTCTGTTTTCCTTCCCCCACACAGCACCTGTGAGGTCCGGCTGTGTGTGTAGTTGCGCGCTGGGAATCCAGCGGTCTCATATGCACCACCTGCCCATCAATAAAGCTCAGTGTGGCTTTCCCCAAGTCTATTTGACAGCCCTGCTCCCGCAAAAAGTCCAAGCCTAAAATACAGGCATCTTGTACTTCCGCTACCCACATAGTGTGTCTCATTTTCCGTCCCCCCACAGTCAATATCAGCTGCCCTCTCCCTTTCATTGGTGCTAGCTCACCAGTTACTGTGCGTAGCTGAACTGCTGTGTCCTCCAGCTGTGTACCCACTGGCACCACCTCCGGCCGGACCACTGTGACCGTTGACCCGGTGTCCACTAGGGCGGTGCAGGAAACCCCCTCGATGCAAATGGGAATATGGCAGAAGTCCGATATGGAAGTCCTTCCCACCACAGCCACATTCTGCCCCTGGCCCATGCTGTACTGAGAGGCGCTGCTGGCCACAACCAGTGACGAACGGGACTTAAGGGTGGGGGCACGCAGCGTCCCGTCTACTGCGTCCCCTTGCCGTTTCCCAGAGCTTTAGTCGAGGCTGGGCAATCCCTCACCATGTGTCCAGCTTGGCCACACCCCTAGCAGAGGCGCGGCTGTTGTTGTGGCCGCACCGGGGCCTGTGTTTGTTGACGCCTGGCAGGGGGCATAGCCAACCCCCTGATCATCTTGGTCACCTCGTCCACCCATAGCGGCCGCTCCGACATTGTCTCTCCTACCGCCCTGACCATTGGGGAAGCATCGTGCTGTGCAGCGCTCATGACCATCTCCCTCTCCAGCGCGTACTCCAGTGCGTCAGTCAGGGTTTGGGGGCGAGCCAACTGAGTGTGAGCCCGCAGATCAGATGGAGAGAGAGCCCTGACGAACTGATCACGTGCAAGCTCCGTTTGCACTGGCGTAGGCATATGCGCGTATGCACGTCGTGTCAGTCCTTCGATGTCGTTTGCCAACGTGCGCAGGGATTCCCCAGTTCGCCTCTGACGTCCATGCAGCTCCGAGCGCAGCAGCTCCGAACAAAAACATTGTCCAAACCGGCGCCCTAGAGCACCAGCCAGGGCTCCATAATTACCCCTCTCACTCGGGTCCAAAAGCAGCAGACAAGACAGTGCATCATCCGTCAAACAAAGGGCGAGCTGGAGGGCTTTCTGTTCATCTGACCAGCTGTTTGCACGAGCTAAAAGCTCGAACTGAGCATGAAAAGCCTCCCAGTCAGACTTCCCCGCGTATTTCGGCGTTTTTACCGGCACTCGCTGTCCCTGGGCGCCGCCATCTTTGTTTACGTTTTGTCCATGCACGTTCCCGGGCGGCAATTCCCCGCGCGCCGTGTAGCTAGCTTCAGCGCTAGCCGTCGCTACGCCAGGACCCCCAGCGGATGTTGGTGGCTGTAACTCACGTATCATCCCCCTTCCTAGCCCGTCCACGGAAAAACGCTGTCCTTCCAGCACTTGAACAGGACGAGGATATCCGTACTCATTGTCCTCCTCCTCCTTCTTGACACAAAAACCTCTGCCAAAAGAACGCTCCATCTCCACCAGAAAAAGCGCCCACCAAACAGTAGTCCGCCCACGCCTGAGCGGTCGACTACGTTAACAAAATCAGACTTAAGTTTACTTCTGACACCAGTTGTAACGTTTCGTGTAAATAAAGAGCCAGGTTCTTATCGCTCGGGTTTATTGTTGTCTGTTGTCGGCCACAGCCACGCCATTTCACATACCCGGTCATCAACTTAGTCCGAACAGAACTTCCCCTTCCTGTGCTCCCCGAAAACTACCCACATTCCCCGGAAGGGGCGGTACCCCAACAATGGCCTACGTAACAGTAACATTAATCAGAGCCATATACATTCATGAACTTAAGGCACGCTACAATAGTTTCATGCCTGCTGTTTTTCCCCCCGGTTCCTGTTTGATTTTGCCTTTTGACAATTAAAGTCTTTTGTTTCCTGAGAAGTCTGCGCTTGAGTCCTGCCTCCTCCACCCGCATCCTTGACACCCTCCAAGGAATCCCTTCATGCTGTGTTTGATTGTATGACGGACATTAAACATGGATGGACCTAAACTTCTTAAAACTAAATGAAAACAAAACAGATTGTGCTATTTGGTTGCCCTGACTTGGTCCAGGTCCTTGCCAGCTCCCTTGGCCCACTAGCACCTTACATAGGTTCCCAGGCCAGAAACCGTGGGGTAATTATTGATGGGGCGTTTAAATTGGACAAGCATATCAGCTCTGTGGTTGAGGCTAGCTTCTTTCAGCTTTGGCTTCTAGCCAAAGTCAAACCCTATCTAAAAAGGGCTGATCTTGAAAAAGTCATGCATTTATATCTTCGCGTTTGGACTATTGCAACTCCCTGTATGTCGGTATCGGCCAATCAGAACTCAACTGTCTACAGCTTGTGCAGAATGCAGCAGCCCGTCTCCTAACCGGGACAAAGAAACATGGGCGCATAACGCCAGTGCTTTCCTCCACTGGCTTCCAGTTAGGTTCAGAATTGATTTTTAACAATCTTTTATTTGTTTTTAAGTCTCTGCATGGACTGGTCCCAGAATATTTATCCAGCCTTATTAATGTACATCAACCCTCCAGAGCCCTGAGGTCAGCTGACCAGTTGCTTTTGAACATTCCTAGGTCGTTCCTTAAAACCAAAGGAGATCGAGCCTACGCAGTAGCGGCTCCCACACTGTGGAATGCTTTAACGTTTTCTGTGCGGTCTGCGACGACCCTTTCAACTTTTAAAACACGCCTTAAGACCCACTTGTTTACCTTGGCCTCTGGCTGAGTTAAGTCACCTGTATTGGATCTTTTATTTGTTTGCCTTTTTACTGTTTTTTGCTTGTTTGTTGCCTGTATTGTTTATTGCTACGGATTATTTTGATCTTGTAAAGCACTTTGGCTGGCCATTGGCCTTTAAAAGTGCTATATAAATAAAATTGACATTGACATTGGAGAGCAGTGTTGGGAAGAACTTTCTGAACAATTTTTGATTTCTTTTGTAGAAAGAATCCCATGAGTATGTTCGGCTGTTAAATCTGCAAACGGTGACTACTTTTATGAGAAAAATTTGGATTGAATGATTTTTTTTTTTTTATCTCCAATTGTTAATTTGTTCTATACTTAGATTTCAGAGTACATTGAGAAATTAAACTTTGTACATTTCAATAAAACTGGAGGTGTTTTTGACAGGTTTTGTGTATAGCTATACTTTATGGTTTTAACAAATTAGATCTGATGGGACATCCTGTCTTTTAATATCTTGTTAAACTATTTCTTTGAAATTAATATTGTCATCTTGTGAAATATTCTATAACTCAGTCACTGCCACATGTACCCTTATAATTCGTTGGGTTTGTAGTGGTACAAGCCAGGTAATGTTGCACAGTGTAGGCTACCGGTACTACACACCGGAACCAAACCAAACCAACTGGAACCAAAAATGGGTGATGCCATAGGGGAACCATTTTTGGTTCCACAAAGAACCTTTCGAATCATGGTTCTTTAAAGAACCATTACCTTAAAATAATGGTTCTTTAAAGGAACCAGAAATGGTGCTTCAGAACCTTTTTCAAAAATGTTTTTTATGGAGCCAAAAAAAATGGTTCTTCCAGGGAATAATGGTTCTTCGGGTAACCGTTATTGTGAAATGTGAAAAAGGTGTACATTTACACAGGATAACACAGCATGCACAGCAATGATGGCAAAATTACCGGGATAAAACAAAAACCTACAGATGTACAACACTTAACTTTGTAATTTATTAATGTTATACACTGTAATCTGTGTGCTACATGCAACAATAAATGTTTAGAGCATTTGCCACTCTCTGCACAGCTACAGGTACCTGTGTGTCCATTTTAAGAATAAAGGCCTCCAAAAGTGAAAATGTTTTTCAGCTGACAAGGGCACGCAAGATAAAAAAACACGAAAGAGCGCCGACACAACAGCCATTGGCCAATGACATGTCTGCATCTTCGGTGTCCACCATCATTTGTCCAGTTTTTCCATCCGCTACAAAAACGTCTGTCCATACATTCAGGGGCTTTCAGCCACTGCTGCTACTCAGGACATTTGTGGGTGTTGGACTTGGTGGTTCCTGAAACAAAACATTTTAAATTTAAAGCTGTATTCTTTAAGATTCTTTTGATATTCTTTGTTGCATATTAAATGCTAGTTTGTTTACAATGATAAATTGTCATGTCATATTTTTAATGTACTTATATATAAATAAAATATATTTAATATAAACAAACAAATTAAAGTTGCTCCCCACAAGCACAAATGACTAACCTTATCGAACAGCTGTGATACATTTTCTTTGAAGACTGATGGTGGGAGGAGTATGCACTGCACTTGTAAAGAACATCATGTCATGGCTCTCTTGAGTTTCCTGTTATTTCTACATGTCTGATTTTTCTCTGATAGAAGTATCTGTTCCAAACATTCATGAAGTTTGATTCTTTTATGGCTCTATTATGGGTTAACAGAAAGTGATCAAATCTGCTGGGTCAAAAATATACATACAGCAGTGCTAATATTTGGTTACATGTCCCTTGACCATTCTCACTTCAATTAGGCACTTTTGGTAGCCATCCACAGGCTTCTCATTGAATCTTTGACCACTCCTCTTGACAGAATTGGTGGCGTCCAGTTAAATTTGATGGCTTTCTGATATGGATTGTTTCTTCAGCATTGTCCACATGTTCTCAATGGCAATGACATATTGCTGGGCATTGTGGCCAAGCAGCTCGATTTTTGTTTCGTCTGACCACCGAACTTTCCTCCAGAAGTTCTTATCTTTGTCCATGTGATCAGCAGCAAACTTCAGTCGAGCCTTAAGGTGCCGCTTTTGGAGCAAGGGCTTCCTTCTTGCACGGCAGCCTCTCAGTCCATGGAGATGCAAAACACGCTTGACTGTGAAGCTCATTTCATTGTCACAACTTTCTGAGTCACCAAAATTGATAATTCATGTTGCTGTATGTATATTTTTGACCCAGCAGATTTGGTCATTTTTTCTGTTAACCCATATTACAGTCATAAAAGAACCAAACTTCATGAATTTTTTATGTGACAAAGAAGTATCTATTCCAATCTGTAATGGTTTAGGTTCATGTCTGGTTTTATTTTGTAGTTTCTTGCCTCTGTTCTCTCTGGGTCACGTCACTTCCTGCCTTGTCCTGTCTTCCCCTGTGATTGTCATGTCATGATTGTTTCCAGCTGTTTCCAATCACCTGCACCTCACTAGTGTATTTAAGCCATGTGTGTCTGTTGTCACTTGTCGCGACATCGTTAGTTGTCAGAAGCCCATGTCCGTGTCTCCTGTTCCCTGACTACATCTTTGCCTTCTTGAAGTTTTTGAGTTTTGGAATTTTTGAAGATTAAAGTCCCTTTTTGTTTTTCAAAAAACTGCATTTGAGTCCTGCCTTTATCCCCAGCACCTTCTTGACACAATCACTATCAGATCAAAACCAGAGTTGTAGAAATAACTGGAAACTCAAAGAGAGCCATGACATTATGTTCTTTACATTCTAAGTGTATGTAAACTTTTGACCACAACTGTACAATATATAGCTCGTGGCTCCTATGCTGTGGCGGCTTTCTTATGCTGCTCACATTGCTCTCCTAGACACTGTGCTGACTGGCTGTGTTGTGCTGGTAAAAACAATGTGTCACTCAGGTACATGCTGGTCCTATACCTGGCTCTGCACTCAATGTACCTCCAGGTGCCCATAGTATTACCTGATCACTTTATGACAAAAAATTATTAAACTAAATTGACTACAAAAACTGAAAAAGCTATAATTATTTTATTAACCTAAAGAATTAAACAATAGTATTTAAGAATAAATAACTAAATAATGACTTATTAATAGCTCCCACAGATCCCATTCTTTGCCTTGACTGAATGGAGGTTATCCTACTTATTTGGTTCACCTTTTGAGTAAAGTATCATAGTAAGCCCGGCAGCCTAGTGGTAACATATTTCATTTTCAAAGCCACACACCTGGGTTTGAATCCCACATAGCCCTTCCTTTTTTTCTCCTCTTTTTGACCACGTGTAGGGCTGAGCGCAGCCCCCCCGATGTGTAAGGAGATACTGACTTTTTAGTTGTGTTAGTACAGCAGGGCCTGTAAGGTGTTTTGTTTATCAGTCTATTCCTTTTCTTTGTTTTAAATCACAGTATTTGGAGGGAAGGCCCTCACATAAATATGTGGAAACACAGGGGAGTAACTGATCCACTTTACTCTCCCAGATGAGGTCAATGACTTAACTTTCACACACTGAGGCTGTTACGGTTTTATATACAGTGCCTTGCGAAAGTATTCGGCCCCCTTGAACTTTGACCTTTTGCCACATTTCAGGCTTCAAACATAAAACCGTAATTTTTTGTGAAGAATCAACAACAAGTGGGACACAATCATGAAGTGGAACGAAATTTATTGGATATTTCAAACTTTTATAAAAAATAAAAAACTGAAAAATTGGGCGTGCAAAATTATTCAGCCCCCTTAAGTTAATACTTTGTAGCGCCACCTTTTGCTGCGATTACAGCTGTAAGTCGCTTGGGGTATGTCTCTATCAGTTTTGCACATCGAGAGACTGAAATTTTTTGCCCATTCCTCCTTGCAAGACAGCTCGAGCTCAGTGAGGTTGGATGGAGAGCGTTTGTGAACGGCAGTTTTCAGTTCTTTCCACAGATTCTCGATTGGATTCAGGTCTGGACTTTGACTTGGCCATTCTAACACCTGGATATGTTTATTTGTGAACCATTCCATTGTAGATTTTGCTTTATGTTTTGGATCATTGTCTTGTTGGAAGACAAATCTCCGTCCCAGTCTCAGGTCTCTTGCAGATTCCATCAGGTTTTCTTCCAGAATGGTCCTGTATTTAGCTCCATCCATCTTCCCATCAATTTTAACCATCTTCCCTGTCCCTGCTGAAGAAAAGCAGGCCCAAACCATGATGCTGCCACCACCAGTGACAGTGGGGATGGTGTGTTCAGGGTGATGAGCTGTGTTGCTTTTACGCCAAACATAACGTTTTGCTGTGTTGCCAAAAAGTTCGATTTTGGTTTCATCTGACCAGAGCACCTTCTACCACATTTGGTGTGTCTCCCAGGTGGCTTGTGGCAAACTTTAAACAACACTTTTTATGGATATCTTTAAGAAATGGCTTCCTTCTTGCCACTCTTCCATAAAGGCCAGATTTGTGCAGTACACGACTGATTGTTGTCCTATGGACAGACTTTCCCACCTCAGCTGTAGATCTCTGCAGCTCATCCAGAGTGATCATGGGCCTCTTGGCTGCATCTCTGATCAGTCTTCTCCTGGTTTGGGCTGAAAGTTTAGACGGACGGCCGGGTCTTTCTAGATTTGCAGTGGTCTGATACTCCTTCCATTTCAATATTATTGCTTGCACAGTGCTCCTTGGGATGTTTAAAGCTTGGGAAATCTTTTTGTATCCAAATCCGGCTTTAAACTTCTCCACAACAGTATCTCGGACCTGCCTGGTGTGTTCCTTGTTCTTCATGATGCTCTCTGCGCTTTAAACAGACCTCTGAGACTATCACAGAGCAGGTGCATTTATACGGAGACTTGATTACACAGGTGGATTCTATTTATCACCATTAGTCATTTAGGTCAACATTGGATCATACAGAGATCCTCACTGAACATCTGGAGAGAGTTTGCTGCACTGAAAGTAAAGGGGCTGAATAATTTTGCACGCCCAATTTTTCAGTTTTTTATTTGTTAAAAAAGTTTGAAATATCCAATAGATTTTGTTCCACTTCATGATTGTGTCCCACTTGTTGTTGATTATTCACAAAAAAATAGTTTTATATCTTTATGTTTGAAGCCTGAAATGTGGCAAAAGGTCGAAAAGTTCAAGGGGGCCGAATACTTTCGCAAGGCACTGTATAGTTTATACTTTATATTATGAAATGAAACATGAATGGATCAAAGTGAACTCAGGTAGAAAAAGTTATGAACCTGAAATATCACTTTCTAAGTCTGTAAATACACAAAAAAAACGTTGTGTGATTATAAACTAACTACATTTGGTTGTGTTTTAGGGAGCCAGGAGAAAGCAGCATCAAACTGAAGGAGAATAATGTGTCGTAACATTTAGCTCCTGTAGCTTGGACATATTCTGAAATATCTTAAGGTTACACTTACAATAGCTTGTATCCTTAAGTCCTTGCATACACATTAATGCATTTGTTTGCTGTTATATTTATTGACAACATTGATGGAATTTCCTTTGCCTTAAGATTGCAATATTACTTTTAGTTGAATGTACATAGCTTAACTCATTTAATATGAATTTAAAATGACCAGAAAATGTTCTTCTAAAGAGCCTAAAATATATAATGCCCCAGAGGAGAAGCATATCTCACTAAATGAAGTAAGATATCTTCCCTATCTGTACTTCTACACACATCGTGTAGATTATATATTGTATATTGTATATTAACCACCAATGTACAATACACAACTACATGCAGTCCATCAATATTACAAATGTATTGACAAAAAACACAATAAACAGCAGCAACAGTAAAAACAGGAACATTGATAGAAGAGTGATATTATCAAAAATTAAAACATCTCTGTTTTTGGGTCCACCATCTGTTGTCAGTTGTTTTACCATCTGCACAGATAAAAAACATGAATACACACACATTCACTGGGAGAATCAACCAAACAAAATTACATTTACACCCTTTACAATTCACACAGCTAATCAAATGATTTAACATTCCGTTCTGTCAATAACGTCAGTTATCATTCAACTTCACTTATCTTTCCTACTTTGATACAAATCTGTTAATAATGTGAAAATAATCCTATCACATGCTTAACATGTCTTGGAGTTTTGATACAGTTTGGGATGTAACAAATAATATGAAATGTTCTTTGTCTTTGTCTTACTACTTATCGAAAGTCAGTCTTTGGGTAAAAGCGTCAGCCCAATGACATGTAATGTACCATGACTGCCTTTGAGTACATTAATTGCAGATTGTTACACTTACCACCATCATCATCATCACCACCACCCAGTTCTCTTTCTTGGGCCATCAATTTAGCCTTTGA